AGAATACACAAATTTGAACTTCAAAAGCCAGTAGTTCATTTGCCGGCAGTTTGACTTATTGATAATTAACATAATTTAACTCACCGATATTCAAGTGAGCTAGTTGAGATTCATAAGTTGAAATATTTGGAAACACGGTTACTTAACGCGCTTTTGTGTTGATTTCTACGTATCTCATCTATTGATAAGAATTATTATTATCATAATCAAAATGCCACATGTGATGCATAACTAATGATTATAACGGTTTCAGTTCAAATATTGCTCTCTTCAGCGCATTGAAGAGAGCGAAAGAGCCCTAATACTTTGTATTTATGATTACCGTTTGTTATTTATCAACACAATGCACGCACGTTACTTAATTCATATATACAAGTATATAAACATACATTGAACCGCGCTCTTGCCTGTAAATAAGAAACACGTTTGTAATTAGCAAAAAGCTTAGGTTTTTCACAGAACCAATTTAAAATGGGTCAACAGGGTATATTGGTTTAGACCAAATGTACATGAAAACCAGAGTATATAAATTTAATCCCAGAAAAGTATAAATACAAACCATTTGTGTCTATTAAATTGTCAGTCTTCAAAATTTGAAGAAAAAGATTTGATCGATACAGAAACGATACTTTAAATTTGATGTATGTATGTATGTATGTATGTATGTATGTACATGTACATGTACATACATACATATATATGACATCCCAATATCAAAAAGATATGTGGAATTCTTAGCGAATTGGACGTGATGGTTTGAATAAATTTGACGACTTTCAATTTGAGAATTAGAGCCAAACATCCTGCAAGAAAGTTTACGTTCTATTGTACATATGTATGTATATAGATTGACCTTTTATCATATTAGATATGACCGATGGTACTGAAGGTTATTTCTTTAAAAGTGTTAGAGCACAAGCTTAAATGTAACATAAATGTTAATTAAGTTAGTGTTGAGCTTCTCAATCGATTATACAACAAAAATGTTACTCTGCACATAAAAAATTTCCTATGAGAACTATGAAAATGCTCGATTGTAATGCCCGTGCTCCCTAATAGATTGAGATTTTGAGCTAAAGCCCAATGAAAGAAAGAAAAAAAAAAAAAAAGAATTCAGAGCTCAGAAATATCCCAATAATTCTATTCAATTCATGAGTTTATAATATACATATGTATGTTAATAAGAAATATTCTGTTTGTTTTTTAATTTCAGAAGAGTAATATTAATAAAATAAAATAATTAATGTTTTGTAGCTGCTCAACTATTGGACAAACTGTAAAACATGAATTGGAAAGCTGAAGCAAAAGGGAAATCTTTCAGTTTCTTAATTATATTGACTTTGTGTGTTTCTAGCACTTTCACAGGTAAGACAAGTAAACAAACAGACATAGACACGACTGCTCAACTAGAACATAGCCTAATCACTGTGCAAGGGACTGAACCAATCTACATATGTACATATACATACATATATAAATTAACTTTGCAACAGCTTGCACAGACCTATGTATTGTATATACTGGCGTAAATGTACATACATACATAAGTATATAAAGTGCATTCAAGCTCTTGTATTCACTTATTCTTTAGACTTTTGAAAGATTGCATCAGACTTTGTGACGCTGTTATGAAATGAAAGCTAAGATATTGTTTAGTCAAGATGAAATTTAATAGATTGCTTTTATCACGATATAATCCAGTGAGTTGTGAAAAGCCTTTATTTAGCGTAGACTGATGCTTTTATTTTCGCAAGGGTTGCTTTAGCTGGTAGAAACCTCAACAAGGAGGTATTTATATTGCACAGGAGCATATTGAAGAAAAATTAACAAATGATTTAGATTAAAATGCTTAGCACATTTTCTTATGTATATGTTTGTTCACGATATTTTATATCAATTTACCGAAAACTCACTGAGCATTAGACTTAGAGGTAATAATATTGTTGTTGGAGTGCTATGGAGTAGTCAAATTGAAACAGTAAAAAGAAAACATATGAATAATAATTTAAAACATATAGAGTAAAAATAAAGAATAATCATTAGTGAAATGGGTACTTCTGTTAAAATTCCTTTTTATACCCTCAACCCATTAAAAATGGGAAGTTACAAGAGCTAGAGAGCTGAAGTTTTGCATGCAAAATTGCATGCAGTTAATACGAGCGCCTGCTTGTGCGCACGTGTGGATGCATATAAATGTATGTATGTGTGTATGAAAGAAGTGCAGAATGATTAGAATATCAGCTTAGAGAGAGCAGTCTCGACTAGAGCACTCTTACTTGTTTTTGTTTTACATAACCCTTTTTACTACAGAAAACTAATGTAGAAAGTATAATATTTATTTATTATTTAGTTATCATATCTACTATGTTAAAATTCATGAGTAGTTTGAGTCGCTAGAATCATTGAAATATTTAGTTAATAATAATAATAATAATAATAATAATAATATATGTATATATATATATAAATTTGATTTCAGAAGTATCAAATTACTTTGATACGCAGGGTCCAAGTTTTTCACTGGAGCCACCTAGTAGAATCGAGTTTTTAAACACGGTTGGAAACACAGCCCATTGTATAGCTCATGGAAATCCTGTCCCAATAGTCCAGTGGCTCGATAAGGAAAACAACCCAATCACATCCATATCAAAGGTATGCTGCAAATGTCTACATCTATATTAACTTGACGACATATTTTTTATAAGAGATACTTTAGATGAATAAGGCATAGGTAGAGTAACTGACCTATAAAATTTTGGCACGATAGTTACGAATTCGTAATTAACATTTTCTAGAGTTAATATTTTGGACTTAGCTCTTGTCTTCGACATTTTTTAAAACCTGCTTTCCTTGCTGGTCTGCCGAAACTTCGGCACCTAATAGCTTTCAGCGGAACTTCCTAAATTTACAGAGAATTCTTTAGCATTTTTCATAGTTGACATCGTAAGCAAACTATCCGATCTTGCGACTTCAGCCTTCAAGCCATTCGATTTCATTTATATATTTTTGTATTAGGAGAAGTTTGTTTAAGTTGTCCAGAAGATTCGCTAATTGTTGGTAAAAATTTAAGCATTAATTATAGATATTAGATTATCGGTATGTGCCTCAATCAATTGATAAAGTGCGCAATAGGTTTTGAAGAGAGAAAATTATTATTTAAGTAAATCCAAAATGTCTTCTAGTCGTATGTCCCACAGTCTCTTGCTTTATTAGATCTGTTAGATACTTTATCTTATCCATGGTAAGAATTTCAATTGGCTTCTTGTACTTAAGCACTGCTATATCAAAGACGCTGACATCCGAAGACGTTGCCGTTTGCAAGGCTCTTACCACGTGCTTCACAGCTGAAAGTGTGTCTGGTATGGTTGAAATTGTAGTTAAGTTCCTTGTTAGGTACTCATTCACTGTTTGGCCCATGCGACCTGTTGTATAAGCCATCCATTCGTAATAGATGCCTGAGGGATCAGTTTGGAATAGATGAGGCTTGCCATCATAGTCAAAGCCCCCAACCAAGCAGGCTACACCGAACGGACGCCGGCCAAAACTTTGCGTATAGTTTTGCTTTAATTTCGCCAAAAATCTACAGAATAAAAATCTATAGAAACAAAACCTTTCGATCTAGTAAATCGTACTTTTATCACACCTTGCTATATGTTCCACACTTGCGGGACTATTAAAGTTTATGCGTTGACTTTGAGCCTCCATCTGTGCACGACTTGCTAAAATTCGAGCGTCAGCTGTAAGACCCGCAAAAGTCATTGCAATATGTTCATCAATTTTTTTTAATTTGTAAGACATTCTTTGTACTTGCAACACATCTATGGCCCTTTTTTCGGCACCTAAAATAACGCATTCCTGAGTGCAAAGGCCCACCTGTACAACAGAATGAACAAGCAACAAAACGCAAAACTTATGAGAAAACTTTCTAGTATGCGATCTTAATTATTAATGTTTCTTAACACTTACTACGGTGGACGCCTTGCGTACCGCCACTTCAGCGTATGCGACTTGCATCAAATGTCCATTCGATGAATATATATTCACGGCCTCATCACACTTCTTGGACATTGCCTTCATGTTGGATTTGGGGTATTAATTTCTTGTTAATATAATGTTATATATTAGTGATATTGTATCGTATATTGTAAAGTTTTGTGGAAGCCTGAAAAATAGACTGACAAATACTTCCCAGCTTTCGTGATGTA